ATCAGAAATGCAAGGAAAGTAAGCATTTATTGTGGACTAATCCAGCTGTACTTATTCATGAGTAGTTTCCCTTGCCACAAGTATCCACGAACAGGGGTTTTGGCACTATCTTTCTCCTTGCCTCCTTAAACCACATCAGAAGAGCTTGGTCCACAGCATCTGCATCGGGTAGTCTTATCTTCTTTCGATCCTGAGAAAACTTTCCATTGGAGTATGCTGCTGCTAGCTTCTTCTATCCTTGATAATGGTGTGAATCGACCCTTGTGGAATGTCGAACAACGACAAATCTCTGCCAGTGGGGCTTGCTTTTTGTCAACAACCTGGGTTATTTCGGGTTTTTTGTCAATTGAAAGGCATTTTCTCTTGTGCTTGACGTGCGTTGGTGACACATTACACGTGCGTGTTGCTAGGTTTCGGGCTAGATCGAGGTCTGCAGCCCTCCCTCGCTTCACATGCTGTGTGTGCTTGCAGTGGCATGGCTTGCTCCATCACTGCGTTACTCTCTCTCTCTCTCTTACTTTTCACACATTGTTAACGAGCCTTTGTCCCTGCTATAACCGGTTAAGTTGGGCTCCGATGAGGCCCTGTTATTGCCGATAACTTTTAATAGAGACAAAGAGTAGGAAAAAACGGGGATTTAAAAAAATCCCTGTTATTACCGGATCCCTGTTATTACCGGGCCTGTTATATATGGTTTCCACTGTATTTTGCATTTAGTCACCCCTAAAGCAAAAAGTAAAATCCTACATGAAAACAAACAAAAAATACCAGTCATTTCGTCACATGGTCATTTCATCAGACCGGTGCAGTCAAGATGTCCCAGTCATCTCGTCACACCCCAAATCCACAAGGTTGAAAGGAGACGGACATTTCATAGCACACTTGCAAACATCAAATGCACATCATCATGGCAATCGCAAATCACGATTTTTGGGGGAGGGTTGGGCCAGCTGATGAGCTACACTGTTCATGAATATGTATTGACAATACAGTAGTCTCCGTCTAAGATCCCACTGCTTAAGATTCCAGTGTGCTTAAGATTTCGCTGTTTTATGTTGACAGAATTTTTACTATACAAAAGTCACCCCTAAGATCCCGCTCTGATTCACTCTGAAGGTCTACATTCGGCTAAGATCCCGCATTTCAGATCATAATTTGCGGAACAAAAACCCGAGAGCGGGAGAGCCCATCAACCAAGAGCGAAAAGTTGAGATCAATAAACTGTCTGTCGCGTCAAAGATCAGCCACTATCGAGAATGTGATCACATACGCTTTGTAGTAAAACTCAATGAAGTGATACAATGTTTGCCCCAGACGGGATCACACCAGGGTGTGAACTGACTGACACGTTTGTTTTCCCTACGCATCGCAGTCACACCTGAGCTCTCCCCCTAAACTTACATCACTCGCTGGGTGGGTAGGGCCTACACGTTCCCTCCAGGCAGGATCACATCGAACCGTGAACTCTACATTGACCATTGCAGCAGTTGTCTCTACTCCCGAATTTGGGAGACAGACTGAATTTTAATCGGTGTGTTAACAATGTAATGGGGTGTAACGACAAAGGCAGTGGGGGGTGGGGGGACACAGTCAGAGAACATGGAAAGCTATAAATTTTTGACAGATAAAGGGGAATGGCAACTGGATTTATAGCGTAAATCTTGAGACTCATGACAGTATAATAAGTGAAAATGGCACGCCTCATCCCATTATGCACTGCGATACTGATAGGTCATCAAGGTTAACCACTCTTTGCTCGCCATCATAAACCCATCAAGCGGTCCCTCCAGTTCATTATAGAGTGGAGGGAGACCATTTTACCGATTGTGAGCCTTATTCTTCCCTGGTTTTGTCGGTTAAGATCCCGGTTCGCCTATATGATCCCGCATTTCCTTGCTCCCGAGCACTGGGATCTTAGGCTGAGACTACTGTATTGAAATCTATCGAGTCAGATCAATAAAGTTTTTAGGTAGGTAGGCTTGATGAAAGGTGTGATTGGCAAGACCATATTATTAGCCTAGTTCTGTTAAAAATAAATTAGCTAATAGAAGTGTACAGTAATACTGCGATTTTGCTAAAACTAAAAGCTAGATCTTCACTTTCAAAAATATAAAGCCTAAAATTAACTCTACCAGACATTGTTTTTGCTTTATTTAAACAATATGTTCAACTTCAACTATGGAACAGTCACAGTTTGGACGAAGATTTAATTTAGAATGTACATTAATAATTTATCAAAAGGTAATTACAATTATAATTTTAACTCACTTCAGATGGTTCACACAACAGTTGCGTGACCCCCGCCGCGACGCTCGCGACGGTTCCCACAAGCCCTGAGTGATCAACTTCGGAATTTATTTTTCGTTCTACAAATCACGCACGGATCGTGTGACCCGCCTCGTACCCTTGTTTGGCCAGGCCTGAGCTACTTAGACTTCGTTCCGTATCTCTGGGGTCGGTAGCTTTTAAGTTATTGAACTTGAAGGACAGTCGCCCCAACTGGGGTTAAACTGACCGGAACTCGCGCAGTGTTTTTTCCTATACAGCTGATAGTAATCCAACAGTCGCGTCGTAGTAACGGTCGCATGAACAAGAATCATATAATTATGCCGTTTTCGATACTTCTGTACGTTTTATAAGTTCTAGTGTCTCAGAATATGATGTGTCAGATATTAGGATCCTGGATATGTACCTGAACACTGCCCGAGTCGTAGTTTTAGGGCCACATCTAGCGCTAGATCTAGATCTAGTACTGGTGTTGTTGCTCGCGCAACGAAATCACAAACATCGTGCCGTACATCTGTTCATGTAATTCAGTGCATGGGTCTGATTCAACGCACAGACCAGCTTTCATATTTTCACCAAACACTCACACATGCATACAAATCAAAACAGAACACTTTGAACTTTTATTTTTGCTGTTGTTGAGAATTTCATTCTACCTGTCACGTCTCTGGAAATTTTTCTGAAAATCAAATTCATGCCATAAAATCATACAAATTAAAGTATTAGACTTAGACAACTTTAGTTTTTTGTATTAATTAGATTAAGCTTAAATGTTACTTTACTGTGTCAAAAAATAATTACAATAGGGTAATTCTTAGAGTTGTAGTGGTTTATTGAAATACAGTCAAACCTGCCCTGACACTACTGACAGCGTACTTAAGTACAGCTAGACTGGCAGTCTAGCCGTAGCCTACTTATTCTAAATATATGATGGCTAGACTGACCATTTAAAAAAAATAGGCCTACTGGATTGTAAATATAAATTTTAGTGTGCAGTACCTCCTAAAGTATTATTTGTATTTGAGACGAAACCAGGTGCCTTATGACAGTGCATGTATTTTAAACCTCCTGTTTTCTAATGTTAATAGGGCCTAAGATAAGTACAGCTGGACTGGCATACTTAAGGACGGGTAGACAGCCAGGCTAGCCGTACTTAAGGACGGCTAGACTGTCAGGCTAGCCGTACTTAATATTGATGGCTGAATTGTAAATGAAATTTTTAGTTTGCAATGCCTAAAGTATTTGTATTTCAGACAAAACCAAAAGGTCCCTTACTGACTTGCATTATTTGAACCTGAATAATTACTAAATCTAGATCTAATGAGACCTGTGTACTTAACAGGCTTGAGTTGATATAGGGTCAAACCTAGATCTAAGTACGGCTAGACTGGCAGTCTAGCTGTATTTAAGTACGGCTAGCCACTTCGTATTTTAATACACAAGAACCGCTAAATAACACTAGATCTAAGCAATAACACCTGTCTTTGACGACCACCTTAGTGACTCCATTACATTTTATCATAAATTGTTCACTGGCCCCTGGTGTTGTGGGCGAGCCGTCATAATCCAATCCCTTGTCGTTGTTGTTAGAACCTGTAGTCCCTCCAACCGATCATGTTGGGTACGCCCCTCCCACAGTTGGCCAATAGGTGTATCAATTTTCAGCTACTGGTGAGGAAAGCATGTGATCCCTCATATAACCCATAAGCCCCGCCCAGAACTCATACACTATCGTACGTGAGATGAGTGGTCACTGTTTACCCAGTCTGTAACAAAGTAACAATGGACGTCAACATGAACTTGTGACAGAAGCGTCGCTCGTTCTCCGAGTGGTGGCGACCCATGTGTTTGTTTTAACATGGCACTTGGTTTTCCTCGTCTAATACATTTCGTTTTATTGTCACCCTTGCGCAAAATCAGCAACGGAATAAAAATCAAACAAAATACAAACCAACAACAACAAAAACAACAACAATTGCGGCTAATTTCGATTGGGACTTCAAATTGGAATGAATGGTTTGTTTTCTCCATCTTGATCAGTCCTGCCTAAGACTGCCGCCTGTCTTATACGGCCACTTTTCTCCTGACAATGGGTGGCCGTCTTACACAGGTTTGACTGTAGGCCTACTCCCAAAAACGCCAGTCTTCAACGCTTGGTGAGTGGTGAAAGGGCCCAGAGCCAGAAGTGAGTTAAATTTACAGTGACAGAAAGATGACTAGATATAGTCTAGATCTAGATAGATCTATACAGATCTAGATCTTATCAGTGTCTGTTTGCATTTAGATTTAGATCTAGATATATATCTCTAGATCTAGATTCTATAGATCTAGAATCTAGATCTATCTTGATCTAGATGTATGGAATCAATGATCAGCATAGTGTATCATAAACTCTCTCTCTCTCTCTCTTTTCTCTCTCTCTCTTTTTCTCTTTTTTTTCTCTCTCTTTTCCCCGTGCTTGCGGGCCCCCCAAACCCCCGGGCCCCGGGGCATTGCCCCCCCCCCCCATACTCATACACTGTATGAGTATGAGTAGACTGAACACCGAGTCTGAAATGTCAGTTTCGTCAGCAGGGACTCGGCCATAAGAGATTCCTCCGTTCTGAAAACATAAAAAATGCAAGTTTTTCAAAGAAAAGCTTTTAACAAAATATAGATCTAGTGTATTCCATATGCAGACACTGCTACTCATATTTAAATTTATTTACACTTACCGCAATCGAAACGTCCGAGAACACAGAGAAAGTCTAGAAACACAGGGCAGCGCCATATTGTGTACATTACATCACTTTAAAAACATAAACGGATATTATTACAAAACAACGAATAAAATGCAAAAGAACCCATCCACAATAAGCCGAAGTGCCGAAGATCCCCGAAATTCTTCAGAGTTGTTTTGGTTTTGTTGTTTTAGGGAAGACATGCATGCTTTTTTCAAAATCCGTTATGCAGACTTTGCAATTATTTAAGGGCGTTGATCCCATTGATTAGTTACAGGGTACGAAAACTTCATTCCCGTCTAGATATCTAATCTATCTATAACAAGATTCAGTAATAACAGTGATAAGTGACATCACATCAGCAGGCCTGTCGAGAGGGGGGGGGGGGTCAGGGGGGGGGGGGGCAATGCCCCGGGGCCCGGGGTTTGGGGGGCCCCGCAAGCACCGGGGAAAGGGGGGGGGGAAAAAAGAGGAGAAGAAGAAGAGAGAGAAAAAAAGAGAAAAAGAGAGAGAGAAAGAGAAAAAGAGAGAGAGAAAAAAAAGAGAGACAGAGAGAGAGAGAGAGAGAGAGAGAGAGAGAGAGAGAGAGAGAGAGAGAGAGAGAGCGAGTAAATAAGAGTTACTCCAAGTTTGAAATAAAATAGGCCGGCACTATTTCTCCGAACGTTCGGGAAAATAAAGCTAGGCACTATTTCTCCGAACGTTCGGGAAAATAAAGCTAGGCACTATTTCTCCGAACGTTCGGGAAAATAAAGCTGGGCACTATTAAC